TGTTTCTCTTTTTGTTTCTCTTTTTTCTTGTTTCTCTTTTTGTTTCTCTTTTTATTCCTTGTTTCTCTTTTTCCTGATTTCTTTTCTTTTTTTCTCATTTCTTTCTTGTTTCTTTTTTCTCTCTCATTTCTTTCTTTTTTCTCTCTCTTTCACTTCTTTTTTCTCTCTCTTTCATTTATTTTTTCTCTCTTTCATTTCTTTTTTCTTTTTTCTCTTTCTTTCATTTCTTTTTTCTTTTTTCTCTTTCTCTTTCATTTCTTTCTTTTTTTCTTTTTTCTCTCTTTCATGTCTTTCTTTTTTCTTCCTCTTGTTTCTCTTCTTTCTTGTTTCTCTTCTTTTAGAAGCCAGGAAGCTGTTTTCCTTCTCTCTTTCTGCTCCTGGGTTCTTTTTTTATTTGTTTGTTTTTTAAAAAAACCCATCCTTATCTCCTGATCCTACAGTTATTTCAGAGTCATTTTACTTGTGAAAGGTAACTTACCTGAAAGAGGAACCTTCTCCATCTTGCACCCATTGCACCCCATTTGTTTTAAAGAGGTTTTTTTTATTTATTTATTTAGGAGGTCATCCCTTGAGTTCCAAAGCCTTTGCAAAATAAATAATAATAGAAAATTAAAAATGAAGTATTTTGCTGTAACTTGTGGGGTTTCAGGTGACTCCAGGTAGCTCAGGAGTTCAGAGGTGACTGCTGTCCTTTATAAGGAATAAAGTCTGTTGGGCACAAGGGGTGTTTCTGCTGCACTGTCAGCACCTTCCAGAGATTCCCAGAGAGCCTGGGCAGAGTGGGAGTCACTGGTGGAGTGGGAGGCAGGACTGCTCAGCTGGCCCCAAGTGCTGCAGCTCCATCACAGCCCAAGGGTTTATTTAGACATCTCCAGGCTAATCAGGAAACCATCAGTGCAGATGAGCTCAGCTCTCCTGCTGAACGTGGTGCAGGGGGAGGTGGGTGCTGTTGGTGAGCCAGCAGCACAAACACAGCCATGTTCAATCCTATTAAATCCCCAACGTGGTGCCACGGCCTGTCCTGAGCTCTGGGTGAGTGGCCACCTGTGCGTCTGCTGCCAGGCAGGGCAAAATCTGGTGCTGTCCCACCCAAAGGGTGGCAAATCAGCCGCGTTTTGGGCTGCATGGCTGGGCTTGGAATAACCGACTTCACATTTTGCTTCCCCGGTACAAAATGAAGTGAAAACCTCCTTCAGGACTTGATTTAGAATCATAGAATCATGGAATCAGCTGGGTTGGAAGGGACCTCCGAGATCATCAAGTCCAGGACTTGATTTAGAATCATAGAATCATAGAATCAGCTGGGTTGGAAGGTATCTCCGAGATCATCAAGTCCAGCCCTTGATCCAACCCCGCTGTGGTTCCCAGCCCATGGCACTGATGCCACATCCAGTCTGTTCTTAAAAACCTCCAGGGACAGAGAATCCACCCCCTCCCTGGGCAGCCCATTCCAATGGCTGAGCACCCTCTCTGGAAAGAAATTCTTTCTAATATCCAACCTAAACCTCCCCTGGCACAGCTGAAGACCCTGAGCCCTCTTGCCTTGCTGATGGTTGCCTGGGAAAAGAGACCAACCCCCCCCTGGCTCCCCCCTCCTGTCAGGGAGTTGCAGAGAGTGAGGACGTCTCCCCTGAGCCTCCTCTTCTCCAGGCTGAACAGCCCCAGCTCCCTCAGCCTCTCCTCATAGGACTTGTGCTCCAGTCCCTTCCCCAGCCTCGTTGCTCTTCTCTGGACCTGCTCCAGCCCCTCAATATCCTTCCTGAGCTGAGGGGCCCAGAACTGGACACAGCACTCCAGGGGTGGCCTCACCAGTGCTGAGTACAGGATTGATTTATTTATTTTTTTTAATGGAATATGTTTTTCTCACCTGCTGTCTCCCCCTCTCCCCTCCCAGCCTCCCAGATGCTGATGTTCACCGCGTACCTCGCGGTCGTCGTTGCACTTTACCTCGTCCCCCTCACCATCTCCTCCCCTTGCATCATGGAGAAGAAGGCCCTGGCACCAAAGCCAGCCATCATCGGGCACCGTGGAGCACCCATGGTGAGTAACCCCCCATGGTCCCACCCCTCTGATTCCAGGGAGCAGGCACAGCAGCTGGGAGCCTGAGCGCCCTCCTGACGGGAATCACCCTGGGAGTGAAGCTGGGCATGAACCACCCCACAGATGTCTTGAGGTGCCTCACAAACACCAGGGCAATCCTGGCCTTTCCCAGGCTGGTTTGGGCGTTGTTTTGGCTGCTGCTTTTCGTAGAACCAGAGGATATCAAGGGGTTGGGATGGACCTTAAAGATCATCCAGTCCCAAACCCCCCTTGCCATGGCACGGACACCTCCCACTAGAGCAGGTTGCTTCAAGGCTGTGTCCAGCCTGGCTTCCAACACCACCAGGGATGGGGCAGCCCCGGCCCCCCTGGGCAGCCTGTGCCAGGGCCTCGGCCCCTCATAGGAAAATATTCTCCTCCTAATATCTAATCTAAATATTTCTTTTTGCTGGATTTTGCTCTCCAGGCTTGACCCATGAGCTGGACCACGAGTAGAAGTTTCTGATATTATTGTTATTATTATTATTGTTATTATTGTTATTGTTATTATTATTAGTATTATTTTAGAGCTTAGGGCTCAGTGTCCATGTCCTTTGCAGGACCTCAGCAGCAGTGGTTGTGCTCAGCTCGCAGCAAAATGCCCTCCAGGATGTGGCAGTCTGCAAAAAACCCAAACTGTGCTGAACCTGCACAAGTGCCCCGTGCTCTTGCACTGCAGATCAGCGTGAGAATGGGGGAGGTGGTGACACATTCTGCCTCTGGGTAGACCTTGAAAGCTGAATCACACAGCCCTTTCTTCTCCAAGGCTTCTGGACATGTCCAGGCAGAAGGTAGAGCAGGTTGGCTTGGGCAGAGCCATGGAATAGTTTAGGATGGAAGGGTCATCCAGTCCAGAGCTGTCCTAGGGTGGCACATCTCTTAGTTTGGGGGCTTCTGCACCCAGGTCTGTGGAGTGGTCACATCCCCACCTCTGTGCTGGCTGATTGACTTCAGAGATTGCAGTGGAGGCACCAGCCTTGGGAATGAATTTGATTTTTTTAAGGCATCCAGCTAACATCTTTCTGGCATTCAAAGCAGAAAGAAAGATTTGTATAGGCTGTTGGAAGCTATTTTGCAGGCTGGAGTGTGCCCAAGCTCAGGACTGTGCACTGGGAGTTTGCTGGGTGAGATAAACACCTGTCGTGACACAAGTATTTTATTTTAGTTCTCTTTATTCTTTGTGTTTTCTTTCTCTGAGCAGCCCCTTGAAATGCCAGCTTCATTTGCATCACTCCTTTTAACTCTATTTCCCCTGTGGGTGGTGGGATGAAGTTCTGGGCACGAGAAATGCTTTTTTCCTGTCCTGCTGAGTTTGCACCAGCCACGAAGGCCAGAAGAAGCCAAGTGAGAACCTGGGCTCTGTGTGCTTTCTGCAGGGCAGGAAATCACAAACCCTGTGGGGAGATTCTCTTCCTATGGGGTTTCCAGACCCGTGTGCCCTCCACAGCCTTCTAAAGGGGCTGAACAGCAAACAAATCCCTTCTGTCCTTGAGGTATTTACAAAAACCTTATCTGGAGCAGGAATCCCAGCTGAGCCTTGGTCCTTTGCTTCTTGCTCTTCCCTGGAGCCAGCAAACACTTGTTGCAGTAGGGAACAAACCCTTCTGGGAGGTGCTGGTTGTGTGTTAGAGGCTGCTGAAGAGCAGCAGTGGAGCTGTGCCAGGGCACAGCAGGGCACATCCCTCCTCTTCCCATTCCATGACACCCAGAGGTGGTTGGCTGTGAGCAGCAGGTGGTTTGCTCTGAATCCCAGGAGAATCAAGACCAGGGACTAGCAAGCCTTGTCACAGCCCCCAGACCACAGCCTGCACGTCCCACGAGGAGCTGGCAGCTGCTTTATCCAGCTGCTTTGCCTTTGCTGCACGTGGAGTGAGTGCCCTGGAACGGCTGAGGTGGGATGGGGAAGATGAGGAGCAGAGTGATCAAAATGTCCTTCTGTCCTTCTGTCTGTGCCCAGCTTTTCACTGTGGTCAGGTGTCACCTGGAGTTTGAAGAGCTGCAGTGCAAGCCCACAGGTTGTCCTGGGTCATACCTGCTTTGTTTTTTTTAGGAATTAAGAGTGGGGGGAGAAACCCATCTAAAGCTCAGGAGGAGCCTTGGCACTGGGCCTGTGGAGGAGGATCAGAGAATCCCAGAGTCACTGAGGTTGGAAAAGGTCACTGAGCCCGCCCTGTGCCCGATGCCCACCTTGTCCCCCAGCCCAGAGCACTGAGTGCCATGTCCAGGCCTTCCTTGGACACCTCCAGGGCTGGGGACTCCAAACCTCCCTGGGCAGCCCCTGCCAGTGTTTTTCTGCAAAGAAATTCTTCCTGATGTCCAACTTGACCCTCCCCTGGCACAACTTGAGGTGTGTCCTGTTGTCCTGTCCCTTGTTCCCTGGGAGCAGAGCCCGACCCCCCCCCCGGCTCCCCCCTCCTGTCAGGGGGTTGCAGAGCCAGAAGGTCCCCCCTGAGCCTCCTTTGCTCCAGGCTGAGCCCCCCCAGCTCCTTTCTTTACATTAAAAAGGCTTTAGGCTGAAGAAAAACTGTTGTTTTCTCAGCTGGTTTGGGGGGCTTTGTTGCCTTGGTGGTTTTGAGGGCCTTTCTTTCATTTTATCTTAATTACTAAAACATTCCCACCATCTTTTTGGGGTGGCTTTGGGTTTTTTTTGCTTTGGTTTGTTGCACAGCTCCTGCACATGTTAAAAATGAGGGCAGTTGAGCTGTGTGCTGCCCAGTCTGTGGCAGCAAACAATCCCAGCTGGCATCTCCTGCCAGGCCTGGAGAAAGGCTCGTGCTCCCTGAGATAAATCCCTGTCAGCTCAGGGAGTCTTTCATTAAATCAGCCTTCAGCTTTTCTGGGTGTGCAGGACAATAATGAGCTCTCATCTCCTGCATGGAGTTATTAAATCCCTAATGGCTTTTGCTTATGAGTTTATCCTGTTGTCCAAGGCAGTTTTGGGTTGTTTGTTGTTTTTTTTCTCTGTTTGTTTTGTGCTTTCCCCCTTCCTTTCAGCCTAGTTGAGCTATTTCCTGAAAAGTTGGATCATGAAATCCAAGAATGGCTTGGGTTGGAAGGGACCTTCAAGACCCTCTAGTTCCAACCCCCCAGGGTTAGTTATGGATGTTCTCTAAAATATGAATTCCTGGGGATTAAACATACATTTTATTTTATGTTTTAGACAGAATTGTTGATGCCCTGTAGTAACCTGAGCCACTAATGCTGAAATCCAATGTACTGGCAGATCCCACACTAAGCCCCATACAGGAAACTTCCAAAGGGCATCATTTTACACCAAAAAAAAAAAAATTAAAAAAAATCAATTTTTTAGGTGTTGCCCTAACCGTGCCTTGTGTTTTTTTGTCCAGTTCCAGATTAATATTGGAAAGGAGAGATAAGAGAGAAAATAATAATAATAATAATAATAATAATAATAATAATAATAATAATAATAATAATAATAATAATAATAATAGCTCAGATTTCCAAAAGGACAAGAAAACATCCTTAAAACATGTTGATGAAACAAAAATCAGATCCTTTAGTGCAGCTCAGTGCACAGTCAGAGAATTCCAGGATGGTTTGGGTTGGGAGGGACCTTATAGACCATCACATTCCACCCCCTGCCGTGGCCAGGGGCACCTTCACCAGGCCAGCCAGAGGTGCTGCTGTTAGTTTGGAACAAAATATTCTGTTCAAGCTCCTTCCTAAACCTCTCCAATGTACAAATGATGTCATGATTTTTTTTTTTTAAAGTCCTGGCTAATTAGTGGAAAAATACAACGTGGTGATGTCCAGAGCAAGGTTATGCTGCTCTAACTAACACGGTTTCATAATCTTCCTTAAGGAGGGTCCAGACTCTGTTTGAATGCATTTGCAATGGATTTGGGAGCACAAAAATAGTCCAAATGAGTTCATTCCCGGGTAATTTTGTAGGAATGACTTGCTGTGTCTCTGCAGCAGGGAGGAAAGAATAGCAGCCTGATTATAAGGGGGGTGAGCCTTTCAAACCAAGCACAGAGAGGAGGAGCAGCTCCTCCAAACCCCCTCTGGCTTTCAGGGATGTAGGATTGTACA